TATATAACTTTTTGTTATCACTTTTCTTCTATTAATATCGCATGAAATGCACGGTTGTGTAATAATCTCATAACTTTACTATCCATAAAATTTAGAAAGTTACGTTAGCTACACTCTTTTTCTTTTTATCACGAATTCTAAAATCACATGAGCACGAAATTGTTGTTAAAGATCAAAAACTACTAATTACTACATATTAAAGATCAATCGAATTGAACGCTTTTCAATTTTTTTTTTCAATTATCTAATTTCTCAAAAACATTTTTGAAAGTAGTTTCCTACTCGTCCTTATCGTCGTTAATTATCTTCGTCTTTTTATGGATAGACTTTTCTTTCATTAGATGCGATCTTCGAAACTTATCTGACGACAACGCGAAGAACATGCTCGTTTCGTTTTGCCGAGGAAAAGGGACACCATAGCTAATTACATCAATATACATACAATATTTACATGTAGCGGTTTTCGCGCACAATCAGCGAAAATGCGCGGTTGAAGTGTGTCGCATTGTATTTTACTAAGGTAAAATCAGTGTGATTTAAATACTTTTACTTTTCACGAATAATGCTCGGTCAGAATACCCGAGTACTTTTATCAGCTTTTCTTAAGCACCACTGACAAAGCGCTCAGATAAGATTGTCGGTCCGTGAGAAAGATGTAATTTGGGAAGCCATTCGGCTATTAGATCGAAAAGTTGAGTACCCGAATAATTCAAGATTGAACTAAATAATGCAACAATTAGTGTAAAAATAAATTTTTCTGATATATGAAAAATTATATCACATATTCATCACAGAAATTTAGCATGATTATTTGTATATTAATATCAACATTAAGATTAAACTTGTTATAGCAGAGATGCGTACAGATATTAAAATTTTAATTCGCAATTGTAAAATGACAATTAACTGTAATTTTTTTTTACAAAATAATATATAAAAGATTAGAGATTTGAACGGATAAATTTTTGTTTAATTTCCTATTGTACAAAAAAAATTGTAGCGAATCCATGGAAATGAACAATTAGTCAAAGCGTCGAAGATGTAAATCAATCATGTTGTTTTTTAGGTGACAAAATTGATTGACTCACGGACATTTCGATTGCGGTTACCAATTTTTTTTTTTAAATTATTCGTGACTTTTTCGACACGCTTCGGCACATTCACGTAGCTCATTCACTTTAACTGATTCGCGTTGACGCTGAAAGCCGCGGTCTCACGCACTCATCTACACATGTCACCTGTCACGTCTGCCTATCCGTCGTTTACACGCTTGCACAATCAGTTCGTGTTCATATACGGCTAATACGAATAACACATATTATATTATATGTACAAAAGCAAAGAGAGGATGCGTGAGGGAGGACGCCTTTTTCTTTTCATTCAGCTGTTCCCTTGCGCTTTTCTCTTTCTTTTCTTTTCCTTACGCTCTTATTTTCGGCTTTTAAGCGTGCTTATCCCCGAGTCTGCGTATGCATCGTGTACATCGAGGAGAGCATCTTTTGAACCAGCGAATGATACCGAATAGAATAAGACAGCATATCGTTGCCTCATATGCATTATCAACGCGCAAGAAGTTTATTGTCGCGTTATTTCTCGACATTTACAAATCTAAGATACCGCTGATGGACTATCACGATTACATGTCTTGACGCTACGACAGCAGAAAGAAATTTTATATTGTATAATTTAGCTCTCTAAATCAAAATTATATTATTGAAAGTATAAATAACAAATAACGAAGAAAGCACATCATCGTCGTACTGATATCATGTGTAGGGTAATGAAAGAAAGAGAGAAAGAGAGAGACGATCAATGCGTGTAAGTGTCAATTTATCAACTCGTTATACCGGCGTTTTTGGCAGTTTCCTGCGCGTCGGCGACGAGGGCGTTTTGTCCGTTTCGGTTTCTGCAAAAATATTTCAATATGCATCATATCAGTAATAACACTCAGTTATAATATTCCTGCAATCGTTTTCCCGAGGGGTATCTCACTGTCACAATACTTTCAGATAAATAGATAACCGCAAAAAGATAATTTTTTTAAATTTAATAAAATAAATTAAAAATAAGGTATCATTGGTAAGAAAATCGACAGTATGTTAGTTTTTTGCTACAAAATACGACCGACTGTCTACAGATAGATTGTTACGAAGAAGAGGGATGTCCAGAGAAATGTCTAAAAAATATGTAAAACGAAAAAAAAAACAATAATATAGGAGCCGTGCATAAGATTAATCTTACGCACGGCTCCTATTAGCCCGTCATATATTATTGTTATTTATTGTGAGCCGTCGGCGACGAGGGCGTTTTGTCCGTTTCGGTTTCTGCAAAAATATTTCAATATGCATCATATCAGTAATAACACTCAATTATAATATTCCTGCAATCGTTTTCCCGAGGGGTATCTCACTGTCACAATACATGTACATTTTTTCTGGAATTACTTACGCATTATTTCGCATTACGCCGCATTACTTTGCATTGATTTATATATAAGTCCTATAGCACAAAATAATAATAACCCAGACAAGATTAAAACGTCTTAAAAAGTAAAAATGATGTCATTATAACGTCTTTAGAGATACGCGTGAATAATTCTTTGAAAGTCAAATTTATGATTATTTATCAATATTTCAGATAAATAGATAACCGCAAAAAGATAATTTTTTTAAATTTAATAAAATAAATTAAAAATAAGGTATCATTGGTAAGAAAATCGACAGTATGTTAGTTTTTTGCTACAAAATACGACCGACTGTCTACAGATAGATTGTTACGAAGAAGAGGGATGTCCAGAGAAATGTCTAAAAAATATGTAAAACGAAAAAAAAAACAATAATATAGGAGCCGTGCATAAGATTAATCTTACGCACGGCTCCTATTAGCCCGTCATATATTATTGTTATTTAACATTGTGAGCCTTTATGATTTTATTATTACCAGAAAAGAACTAAATAAAAGGAGTGCCAACCTAAGGGCCAATAAACAAAAGAAAAAAACTCAAAATAATGACCTTCTATCTAAAAGTACGTCTTCTACAATTGAATTCGGACGTAAATTCGTCCTTTGAATTACTTAGAATTACACGGCGCATTACATGAAATTACTTGGGTAATTCCCGGTAATTCGCAATACATGTACAAATTTTTGGTGAGTGAGACATCCCTCGCGTTTTCCACAGTGACTATGATGATAATGTGATAATGATTGTTGAAAGTCATTTCTTTAATTCGCTTCGTGTGAGTACAATCGTGTAGCGAAAACATATATTGTATATTGAAAAAGTTATCATTCTAGAGCTTGTAGAATAAAAGGATAAAGTTCCGAAAAGGTCCCGTCTCCGATTTTTTTGAAACTCAGTATTCTTACGTATTTTGATGCGCTGATTACGAATATCATAGTGAAAATTGGCGACTATTTGATTTTCATGGTGAAACCCATGAAAAACCCATAAAAATTATAGTTTTTTACGCTTATCTCAGTAAATACGGAAAATCATGATAAATGTTTTAGACAAAAGTTTTAGATCTTACAGAGATAAATATTTTATGTCCTATTCATTTTTACCGTCCAAGTGATAGTTTTCGAGAAAATCAAAGTTAAACATATATCTCAAACCAATTGCTGTATAGGTGAAACTACAAAGGCTGACAGTACTGCGTAGAAGTCCCAATATATAACCTCGCTTTGCGTTTCATCAAAATCGGAGACGGGACCTTTTCGGAACTCCACCCAAATAAAATTTTGGATATGTAAATCAATGATGATAAATTCAATATTGTTGCGTTATAAAATGTGAATAATCTAAGATATTTATAATGTGTTGTATATATGTGTAAATAAAATTCAGGGATATTAGTATTAAATATATAAAAAATGTGGAATATTTAGGGACAATAGATTGATAAAAGTGGCATGTATATGTGTACGAATGCTACATATTTTTCATTGAAAAAATAACAATCAAAAAGAAGACTTTAAATTTTTAAGACCCCTTAAATTTTTTGCAAGCGATTTTAATTTTTAATAATAGATTATTTTCACATTATTTTGCGTATTTTCTAAATTCACACAAAGAAACGCGACCGCGTTAAGAATGAGATAGAGTGGCTTAGCAAATATTCACGGATACGAAAATATTCGTTCTTCGTCTTGAGGTCAAAACGGAACTGTGTCAGCGGTCAGAGGTCATTCTCGTCCTCGCGACGTCCTAGAATACCACTTGGGACTTTTATTTGTTATATAAAAAGCCACTACACGTACTACTCGAAGTTATTTCCAGAGCGACATATGTACCAAGCCCTGTGTTATCTTTTAGGCTTTTCTTTTCTTTATGGCCTAACCCAGTTTCGAGGTGGTCGATTTTCGTAACCCTCGTCAAATCAACTAAGTGTAGTCACAGGGTCTTATTTTTTATTACAACGATCGTTATATTACAAATAATCGATGAAATATACGTACGTTTTATTTGTAATACTAGTTTTGGATGTAAAAATATTTTCATAGAATTCATATTTAGGACATGAAAATCGATAAATGATATTTCTCGATAACCAATTTAGAGTTATAATAATTTTTTTTATATATTGATCTTCTCAACGCGTATTCTTGTATGTCGAAGATTATTTATGGACTTGTGTACAAATAATATTTTAATATAAATAATGTACAATCAGAGATTTCCTTTAAGATACTATTGTTTCTACAAATTTGAGTCTGGAAATTCAAAAGCCATTTTGACAAATTTTATCTGTTGGCACTTACCCATTAGAAGGCCCAAATTTGTAGGTGTCTTTCCAGATTGCGGATCATCTAGTAAGTCTCCAGTACTGTTTTTCGAGGGCGTCATAGAAATTGGTCGCCGGGAAACACGAAGTGAATATAGAGAATCGATTTGCGGTTAGGTCTGTTCACAATCATCTCACGGTAATATTACTATATGCATTGACTTACATATCGGTCGCATGCTCCACCACCAATTCCGCTACGTCGTCGGTTCGCTCGATTATCTGCTGCACCTCCTCGAAGCTCCGATCAATAAGAGATACACCGGACCATTCTAGCACCTACACATATAGCATACGGTATATATTAATAATGTTAAATATAAATACAAAAATATGAGAAAAATGTTTCTTGCCTTTTGAGACGTTAACTATTACGATAATTCTTTTCTCTCTCTTATTTTAATTGGTGTTCTTTTTATACAAATTAATACAGATAGTCAAAGATATTTGATTTTTGGTATATTATTATAAAAATATCATATAGTTTACAAGAAATCTCACAACAATCAAACTACATTTTTTATTTGCGATAACAACATTAAGAGCTAAAAATTTCATTTTGCACGTGTTTCTTTTTTTTTATGAATACTCTCAAATTTTGAAATATATTTTATAAAAGATTTTTGTGTAGCATATTATACTGCCTATTAAATTTTGATAATATTCTATATGAAATTATTATACATTTATATTCTTCTATTAATATACGCATATGATGATTAAATTAAATACATCTTTCACGAGAGACATAAGCTATGTAAGGACATATTAAGAAATTGTAATTGTTCTCCAATACAATTCTTTCTTATTTCGGGACCTCGCGGAATGATTCATCCCGTGCGTTAAGGAGCGGAGCAACGTGATTCAAAAATTTCCGAAGAATTGTGATCGGCGGTAAAATTAATGTTAAGACGCGTCTCGGCAAAAGAGAGAGAGACTGAATTACAATCGGTCATAAAGCAATCCGCTCTCGCTTGCGCTTTAAGTACTTAAATTACTTAAATTACTTGAGCGGATCGCTATGGGGAGAAACAAAGACGGCGACGAGACCGTCGGCACGGGCGACAGTAAACTGTTAACTTTCGGGAGAGATTCGTTGTGCTAATCCTTACGACCGGGGAGATATTAAGATTAAGGGCCCGTCTGTTTTAATCCGATGGATGACATTTATTGCCGCGTAAGATAGAGAAGCGTAAAAATTGAAATGCAGTGATTAAACACGTGAACTCGTTTAATTTCTTATCGTCACAAGCGCGCAAGCGCGAATTTGATAAATTCGATTCTTCGATCTCGATTGGTTTTTACAGGTATGGATTCAGATTTAAAAGTCTTTGACGATATATCTTATTGTAAGGTTGTCATGTATCGTGTTTTTTTTGCGTTTCACTGTGTTGCAATTGCATTTGAATTTAGTTTATGTTCGGCCGCGTATTAATTAACAAAAACAGAGAATTAAATGTTTGATTAGGGTATTATAATTATTTCGGCGTAATGTGGAAAATTCGCGGCGGTGAAACGCGAGATTAGGGGTTCTCCCCGTTCTTCGCACACACAATGAAACATTAATAGCGTTCGCAGCAAAATATCGCGATGTCGCTATTCAAATTTCAAATGTCAAATTGCGAAACTTACACGTTTGTTTTAATTAGCGTATATTGTACGCGAAATCCGAAAATATATTCAGCGCCCCACCTGCTGTATAAGGGCGGATTCTTTGAAGAACGTTATACGGATCCGCGTTAATTACGGCGTCCGATAGCTTTCAATTAAAGCACGAGCAGAGTCAAATTCAAATATATCGGTAAATATATCGTTATATGTATATCGGTGCAAAAAGGAGCTCGCGCGATTGATACAGCACAGTTATTTTTCTTTCATTGGAGTGTAAAAAGCGGAAGAGTGAAAAGTGAAATCATATAAATTACTTTTAAAAATCGATTTATTTATTATACATCGTTTATTTATTATATACCATCGGAAGAACGAGCGGAAAGTCGCTGAAACATCACGGAAAATACAATCGGCGATCCAGAACGACCTTAGAGGGGCAAGGAGCCAGCAATCCGGGAATTTAAAGCATCTAACGTCTGGCTACGTCGCGATAGGATCACGACCCGCACACGTAATGCGCGACGCACGGGACAGCGAGAAAATCCTCGCGCAAGGACTCAGGCCCGTGCGGATCCGGTCCCCGCGGAGGGACTGCAATCCTGCACCCGATGGCGCCCGGAATCGTTTCGTTCTGTCGTCGTCGCCGTGAATTCGTACTTTGGTGTACGGGCTAAGCCCGATTCTTTGGTGTAGATTTTCGCGTCACGGCCACGTCGTCAAGCGATTCGAGCCCCGGAGCCTCGAAAGTATCGGTTTCCGCGGATCGAGACATTACCTCGCGTTTTTAATAAACCGTGTGTTGTCTCTCTGGAGATTCGGATTCCGTAGATTATATTTGCGTTGGTTCTCGCACGTCTAGCGTTTAAGTCTCATTCGTGCTGTATGTCGGTCGTTTGAGTGTGAGTGTGATTCGCGTCAATTTGTTATATTACTTTTGTCCTTCGTTTGTGAAACTTCGCGTCTAAACTTTGCATGCACGTCCGGTACAACTTTCCTCCACGATTATTGTACGGGTTGCGTGAGAGTGCGAATCGCGTAAATTCGACGTATTATATCGGTTGTAAAGCACCGCGTTTCGAAATTGTGAGCGCGTTTTGTGAGAGTTTCCTCGCGATTCTTGCATGGATTGTGTGCGTGTGTGTGCCGAGTATTCGATTCTGCGTAACCTGTCCGCCCGAAATCGAAGCATGTCCGCGTTTTATTAATTGCCTGTTAATCTTAAGTTGCGTATTAATAATTTGGCGGTAATAGCGGGCGATAAGGTGGGAGGAGGAGAGGAATGGATAAAAGAGATAGAAAGAGCGAGAGGGGTAGAGAGCAGGGAAGGGGAAAAGGGTGGAGAAGAGTGGAGTGGGGAAAGGAGGGAGTAAAAGGGGTGAACGTATGAAGGTGGGGGGAGAGAATGAAGAGAGAGGGAAGGGAAGGAGAACAGGGGTAAGGAGAAGGGTGAGAGAGAGAAAGAGAGGAGGAGGAGAGAGAAAGAGAGAGAGTGAGAGGGAGAGAGAGAGAGAAAGAGAGAGAGGGTGGAGGATGAAAGAAGAATGAAAGAGGAAAGAGGGGCGGAAGAACTATAAGGAAGAACAGCGGAAGCGGGGGTCCAGTAGAGATAAGGTTTAGCGTAAGATAGACGTAAGTAGTATGTAAGTTAGAGATAAAGCAGTAGGAGAATAAAGCGGAGAGAGAAAGAGAGAATGACGGAAAGGGCGATGATAGGGCGAAGCATGTACATAATGTATTAGATTAAGGAATAGGTTAAGGGATTGTAAAGATTGTAACCCCATTAGGGATCAATAAACTTTGTGACGTTGCCGTCTCGCGCGCGTCCGCCGAGTCCCTCTCCGATCGAAAAAGCGCGGGCTGAAGGGCCGCGCCAGTCGAATCATTGCGAGAACCGTACCGTTACCTCCAGAGAGGCGTCATTAATTGAGATTTCGAGCGTAATATTAATTTCGTTTATGATTTTCTTTCGTATGAATAATTCATTTGGGAGCCTCATCGGAAGAAGGAGCGGAAAGTCGCTGAAGCGTCACGGAAAATACGATCGCCAATCAAGGAAGACCTTGGAGGGGCAAGGAGCCAGCAATTTGGAAATCCAAAACATCTAACGGCCAAACTAGCTACGTCACGACGGGATCAGGACCCGCACACGTGATGTGCAACGCACGGGACAGCGAGGGGATCCTCGTGCAAGGACACAGGCCCGTGCGGATCCGGTCCCCGAGGAGGGACTGCAATTCTGCACCCGATGGCGTGACGCGGTCCCGGAAAAGACGGAAGGAAGGGTGGCAGCGATACTTCCGGCCAAACCGTTCACCTCAGACCCCGCGACGGCCCCGCGAAAAGAGCCCCAGCGAATTATTGTTTGTAATACCGGGGGCGCGCGCACCCCCGTTACGACCGTGAGCGCGCCGCCCGCTGGCCACAGCGCGTGATAACGCGTGATTGGTTGCGATAATACGCACCCTGTGTGCGCAGCCCCGGCTGGCGCACAGGTATCGATTCTGGATCGCGACGATCCAGGATGAGACTGGCGCGAGCTTGCGTGCGAGATAGAAGCGTAAGCGAGAGGACCGTTTTGACGAGAGCGATAGCGAGACGAGAGCGAGCGGAGAGGATCCCGGCGATCGGCAGCTGCGAAAGGACGGACCCGAGGGAGAGGACGTCAACGTCGTTGACCCCGTGTAACCACCACGAGAGGAAAAGTACCGGTGAGGTTATCCGCCGCCATATTCGCCACTCGCGATCGCGCCCGGAATCGTTTCGTTCTGTCGTCGTCGCCGTGAATTCGTACTTTGGTGTACCTAAGCCCGACGATTCTTTGGTGTAGATTTTCGCGTCACGGCCACGTCGTCAAGCGATTCGAGCCCCGGAGCCTCGAAAGTATCGGTTTCCGCGGATCGAGACATTACCTCGCGTTTCTAATAAACCGTGTGTCGTCTCTCTGGAGATTCGGATTCCGTAGATTATATTTGCGCTGGTTCTCGCACGTCTAGCGTTTAAGATTCGTTCGTACTGTATGTCGGTCGTTTGTTCGTGCTGTATGTCGGTCGTTTGAGTGTGAGTGTGATTCGCGTCAATTTGTTATATTACTTTTGTCCTTCGTTTGTGAAACTTCGCGTCTAAACTTTGCATGCACGTCCGGTACAACTTTCCTCCACGATTATTGTACGGGTTGCGTGAGAGTGTGGATCGCGTAAATTCGACGTATTCGGTCGGTTGTAAAGCACCGCGTCTCGAAATTGTGAGCGCGTTTTGTGGGAGTTTCCTCGCGATTCTTGCATGAACTGCTTGCGTGTGTGTGTCGAGCATTCGATTCTGCGTAATATGTCCGTCCGAGATCGAAGCATGTCCGCGTTGTATTAATTGCCTGTTAATCTTAAGTTGCGTATTAGTAATTTAGCGGTAATAGCGGGCGATAAGGTCGCCGTTGGCGAGGTGATATCGAGAATTGATTCGGACTTGCGCCCGAATTATAGACGAACATAATAATCAATTTCTTCGCAGTGCGAGGCGTAACCCAGTAAACACAGAATATAACTGCTATATAACATGGGAATAACATGTAATGTAACAGTTGTTATGCCTAATTTATATTGGAATTATATAACTGTCTCTTATTTATGCAATATAACACCAGAATATAACTGCTATGTAACATGGGAGTAACA